TTTTTTTTTTTCTTTCCCTGGCTACTTGAGTAGAATGCATTATACCAGATTTAGTAATCTTCATTGAAATGGTTTCCAGTTTTCTTTCCAAATGCTGTTGAGTCTTTCTCTCTCTTTATTTTTAAGGAAAATATCACTTTTATTTTATAAACTTGAATTTATAAAGTGCTGGTAAATTATTTTTTTTTAATATTTTTGATTGTATATTTTAAACCGCTAAGGCCAGACCATAGTCCTAGCATTTTCTTTTTAAATTGTGCACTAACAAAATGCTATATAATTTGTCTTTCCAAGATCTCCTGGTTTCCATATAAGGGATTTAACCAAAATCTTGGTCTTCCATAGTCTTACTCTGTGAAATAGAGGAGTTTGTGTGCCTTAGATTTAGGAAAAGTGTGTTCTTTAATAGAGTGTACGGGGCTAAAAGAGTATTTAAATTATATGTAGTTTTCCCCAATTTCTATTGAAATTGTAGAGTTGAGTTTTGTTAAAAGTGCAATCACAAATCTCATCTATATAGGAAAATAGTTCAATGTCATTCTTCATCTCTTCGTTTTAGCTTACTGCTGCCATGTGCAATCCCAAGCATTCTTTGCTGGGGCAACTAAGTGTATCTTTCTGAGTGACCTCTAGTTTAAATCTAAGAAACTGTCAAGTGTTGTGGGAAAATAATTTTGGAATCCCTTTAAAGTGAAACTTGTGTCACATCATCAAATACCATAGTACACTTATTTTTGAGCCAAATATTTTTACTTGATAGGTTGTGCTACTCCAAACAGTATAGGTGCCCGTTTCTAGCTTGATTGTGCCTGAAGATGGACTTGATTCAAATGGTTTACATATTTTGTAGCTAAGGTATATGTTACAGTACTCCCACCTTGTTATTTATTGGCCCTAACTGTTTGGTTTCAGACAAAATTAACCCTTTTCTCCTCTGTATCCTTCAGGTGGCAGATAAGGAAAAGCATCAGATTCTGATATCAGTGTTAGAGAATGTTCCTAAGCGTTGTTACTTTTTAGTTATCTGTTCCACTTGACATGGTAGAAGGTACTTTCTCTTTCTATTCTGATGTAAGGGAAAGGATGTTTTTGGACATTACCAACTTAGATAAGCAGGATACCTACCTCTCCTTTGGTTGTTTAGAGAGCTATCACCACTTCAAAGCTATGATGCTCTTCTTCTCAAAGCTCACGTTAAGTGTATAGTAGACAGATTGATTTAGGATAATTGTCCTTAACTATTGACCTGAAAAAATTAATGGCATACTCTTTACTTCCCTAATTTTAAGAAATGGTAATAGATGTCTTGTCCATTAATTTATTTAAATGCTTCTTAAGCTTCTCTGTTTTATATCTATTCTCAGGGTTATAACTCCGTGTTTACCATCATCTGCAAAAAGGTACCAAAAAAATCCATAAATAAATATGGAATACATTCATAAATACCTAAATTCTTTTGGTAAAGTGATATTTTGACCGTTTAGGCTTCGTCAATAGAACTATTCTTATCTTTTGGACTGAATTAACTGGTCGTTGATTGGCTGGTCAACCAATTACTGTTTTCATTTTGTACAAAATGGTTAGACCCTGGTGTATAGAAGCAGTATTTTGGTTTCATCTGAAAAAAACAAGAATTGACCTGGTGACTTTGAAAGCATGGTTGACAGTGGTAGCTTCTCAAGTTCTGAAGTAAAACTAAGGAATTAGAGACTCATTTTTATGGGTTTTTTTGGTCATGGTGCTATTCCTAAGGTTAATTTTGAATATGTGACACACACTCCTAAGTACCTTTAAGGAAAATTAATAAATAATTAATAGTTCAAAATGTTTACATTGAGCACTAGAACATGTTTGACTTCTTTTCTACTTTACGCGAAACGTGCAGGGATTTAATGCACAGGTGTACTTTAGTATGTTTGGGATCGGTGTGTATCTTGTGAAAAAAGACAAAAGATTACACATTGAATGTGAACTGATCCACAAGTAAGTGCTACAGCTTTCCATTGCACTTGAAGTAACTTAATGGTGTATGTGAAAAAAAGACTACTGTGGTTATGTATGTCCAAAGTCCTATGATTTTATTCATTTATGGTTAAAAAAGGTTTGAGGTGTTTAGATTTGAGTTTTGATTCCTTTGAAAGAATAATTTTATCAAGCATATTAGAAAAAAACGATTTCAAACATTTAAAAAGGTGAAGTTTAAAAAGCATATTTTTCATAACCTACTTATTATAAAAGGGTATACTGACAATGTGTAGTAACTTCTGAATAAAAGGAAAAGTTTATCCCATTTTCAGATAATTCCTAGGTTGATCATTCTCCCTTTTTTGCTTTAGGGGAAACTCTCTGATTAAATCCTCTCTCAATTTAGTAATCCTTGGAAAGAGTGATAAAGCACTTACAGCTCCTAAGTTACAACACAAAAGGTTTTTTCTGAATAGTGGAGAGTTGTACCTAAAAAGGAAATTACTTTTATAATAAGAAAATAGGGAGAAAGTACTTAGTTTTAGGAAAAGGCACTTCAAAACCCAGAAGTGCACATGGAAAAAGGAGACATAAAACAAACCAATAAAAATATTGTTTGAAGGTACTACTATCCAAAAGTAAAAATAAGACACGTCACTAAATCCTTCACATTCCACTGGTTAATTACTCTTAAGTAAAAATTATTATTTAGAATAACACTGGGTCCATACTACATTCCCTGTCCCTCTTCTGTCCTTTTTTAATAATCAGAACAAAGAATTTATTAACTTCACTGTATGGTATTAAAAACTAAATTGAAAGGATTTTAACCTCTTCTGTTAGTACAAATTGAATTTGATTGTGCCACCTGAAAAAAAGAGAGGTTTATGTATCAGAATGCAAGAACATTGTTAAAGGTGTGTGCAGTAATGTTGGTTTTCCTTTTTACTCAGTTGTGTTGATTCTTTTGAGTAACTTCTACAAGGCTAGAAAAGGTCTTTTTGCCTTGCACTTTTATAGCTGAAATACCAGTGCCGTTCTTTTCGTTGATATTAAGTCAGTATATTTACTTTATCAGGTATCTTGTAGTGGTCCCTAAATAGTTTTCTTATATTGTATGGAAATTATATTCAGTTATTCTAGTATGATGGAGTGCAACAGAGCACCTTCATTGTAGAACTTTCTGTTGATTATTATTTAAGTTATACCTCTCAACTTCTGCTGTGGATATCAGGGAATAATAAAGCAGAAACCCTAAGAATTTTCAACTGAACAGTTTAAAGACTGTCTCCTATTCTAGTATTTGGGAACATACAGACCAAACCAAATAAATTGGTCAAGGCTAAGGAGAAGATGGAGCATTGTGGAAAAATCTAGTACAACTAGATTAGTAAGTGCTAATCCTTTTAGCTCAAAATGGAATTAATGGAAAGGATTGAAGTGTAAAGAGTATAATGGTGAGGGCTGTGTTGTCTTTTCTCACATTTTAAAGAAAGGTTTTATAGCTGTCTTCTTAAATTATAGATGTTGCATAAGGATACATGGGAATTCTCAAAGTTAAGAGATTTTTACCAGCCCCTCATAATCTGCCAAGCTTGTTCTGAATATATTGTTAATTTGGTAGGAAAATATCAAGACTCTTACTTGGCATCTCCTCAAGGATTGCTTTTATGGATTTGATGGAAGGCGGGAGATATGGGTAGGGGGACCAGTCACAACATTTGGGTCCTACAAATCTGCAGGCTCTATCTTTGGCAGCACGTAAGTTAACTATAGACTCTGTATTTATTTGTCAAGACTGATAGTTTCATTGAATTTAATTACCAGTGCTACAGCATATTTTCTGGTCATACTTTAGTTTTAAAGTTAACCTTAAGGTAAGTTTTATCATTTATTAAAACCTTTAATGGCATTTGGACTGTGAAAGAGAAAGAGGCATTCTGACTGACCTAACTGAAATGAGAGGCCCAATTACAGACTGATCCGATTGCCGTAGCCAGCCCTGCCCACCGTGCTTCCACGGGGAAAGGATCCACCCATGATGAGTTTGTACAGTATCGAATGCTAAGGGAATCTTTAATTTTTAATATATCGAAGGTAATTTTTTGTATTGCTCTATACTTAGTCCTTGCACTGTATGTACACATTGAGTTCACCTGTAAAAGTCTAACTGTTATACTGGAGCCTGTCAAAAGGAAGTTTTCCACTCCCACATAAGATCTCTACTTTAATTTTCTAAATTAACTCATTACCACATCTGAGTCTTAGCATTGCCATCTAGGAGCCCGTTTTTGAGTCCATTACTACCTAAAGTAGTAATAATTTATTACTACTTAATATATAGTAGTAATTTATTACTACTTTATTATAAATTTAATATAGTCATTCTAATGACAAAAGGCTTTTTTTAAAACTACTTAAGCCCAAGTAAAAAGCTAAAGCTGGTTAATTCTGTAAGGTCTGCAGTATGCAATCAATTTCTCATGCAACTCATCTTTACCTCTTGTCTTAAGCTGCCCCCTATCCTTTATCCATTTGTGATTTCTTCTCATGCAGGCAGAGTGCAGGGCCACACATTGTTGTATGAATTGGGAAACTGAAGGGAGTCATGAGGTGTGCATGAAAAGGGGTGTCACTGGATTGTCTGTGATCGTGCTGCTTTTCATTAGTAAAGTAATAAAGTAGATTGAAAACCTGTTATTTACTTCTTGTACCTTATCCTGCCTAGGTTAGTTTGAGATGCTTTGAAATATCTCTTAAAAAGTTCATTAAGTAGGGGCTGGCCCCGTGGCCGAGTGGTTAAGTTCGCGCGCTCCGCTGCAGGCGGCCCAGTGTTTCGTTGGTTCGAATCCTGGGCGCGGACATGGCACTGCTCATCAGACCACGCTGAGGCAGCGTCCCACATGCCACAACTAGAAGGACCCGCAACGAAATATACAACTATGTACCGGGGGGCTTTGGGGAGAAAAAGGAGAAAAATAAAATCTTTAAAAAAAAAAAAAGTTCATTAAGTAGATAAGTATGAGATCCCTGAATTCATACTTCATAGAGCTTTTATCAGATTTTTAGAAGAAAATTGCAAGAGCCATCACAAATCTTGTGAGAATCCTAAGAATGACTGTAACAGATTAACTGTCTCCTAGAGATGAGAGAAAACGGTGTAGTGATGAGCTAGATTAGCTGCAGCTGCCAAACTAAGCGGTCGAAGGCTCTGGGGCCCACCACTGAGTGTGCTGGAGACTTAATAGATGAACTGAACTGAACTCATCCACTGAACCAGAGCAGTGAGGAAACAGGCAAAGAACATCTCTGGAGTATGCAGTTATTTCTGACAGTCTCTTGAGCTGACAGTGCCATACTGTAGAAGTTGACTTGTTAGTGTAACTAACTCCCCCTAGAAAAGAATAGAAAAATGTTAAACCCAGCAAGTTACAGAAAACACCTTATCCTACCACAGTCATTCTCTAAAGAAACTTCAGTTGATGGGATCCTTTTGGAAACGTAGGCTTTAGGAAGGATCAGTATCAGTGATAAATGCTGTTTGCTGCCTGAGTTTTGGTCTTTTCATTGCTCATCAGTGAAGGGCAGACAATGAAGAAAGACATCTCAGACTAGCTCTGAAAAAGGCTTTTTTGAGAGAGGTTATGATTTGCAACTAAAAGGTTTTCCCTTTGTTTGGATTTGATTTCTCCACCAACCACGGCAAGCAATAATGCCAGTACTTAAAAAGTATACGAAATAGGCTAGCGTATTGTTTTCATTTCGATTGACATTCTTTCATCTCATTTTCCATTCTCAAATTTGTTTTTAATACTCCAGTTAAAATGCTGATGAGATTAAAATTTTTTATGCCTCTTCTAGCATTGATGTGAAGTTTACTTTGGATTTTGGAAAACAGTTTTGTATAATGAAGTATCATAATTGGAATATGAATAATCCCTAAAATATAGAAGCTAGAGATTACTGCTTTGAATCAAAACTGCAATGTCTATATCCAAGTTTCTGTTCACCACAGACCATCTTAGAATACAGTGATTTGTGAGTTAAAGTGGTAATCTAGGTAAACTATGATGGAGTACTATTAAAGATAGAGGTTTTCACTCTACTAATGAGGTCTTCCGCCATACCCAGATAGGGAATCATTTACAGGAAAGCAACAATGCCTCAAGCACTCAGTGACGGTTGTAACACACGACTGACCCAAGACCATCTGGGACGGTAGGACTTGTGGAATTGTACTGACTTGTTAGTATTACGTGACACTATTCACAAATGTATTGTTAGACCAGTATCCTCCAAGATTTTTAACCTTGTACCCTAACACATAAATTGGACTTCTAACTCTGAATTATCCTGTATATATTTCTAAAAACTGTTTGTAGTTTTCTCAAGGAGAATAAAGCACTTTATAATTTACCAAGTTCTCAGTAATAAAATTAACACTGACTTACATGTATGTATTTTTTTTTAAATTCCCTACATTATCACTTGTCTATCTGCCTCAGATTCTGTTTTTATCTTTATTCTATGAAATTCCCATTTTATGGTCTAAGACTTTACAGATACAACTTTATCAAATTGGAGTTGATACACACAATATAATCTATTCCCATTTCTCCTCCCTCTGGACATAGTTATTTCTTTGAAGTTCAAATTTCCTTAAAGCATTTTTAAAAGCCTAATTATAGTTTCTTCTGTAGAACCTTAACTATTTTCCCTTATTTTGGATTACAAATAAGCATTTATTAAAATGTCTTAGAGTTAGTACTTACTAGGTTCCTAAATGGTCACTATAGGTACTTCCATCGCTACATCAAAAAGGAATTAATTGCTGCAACTTAAATCATTTTGCCCAACAAATACTTAGTTGTAATAGGACTTTATCTATACTAACTGGCTGTGTTGTTGGGAATGAACCAGTTGTTTAATGTTTTTCAGCATGCAAGTGGATGGTTAGTTGAGTGTGATACTAGTGTATCTTCATCCTACCATAAAGTACAAATGTACTAAAAAATGTTCATATTTTTAAAAACTGTTTTCATTTATCTATTGTAGCATATTAAATCATATTCTAGCATTCGCCTAACATTGATTTAATGTGCTAAAGATTCACTTTGGATCTACGGGTGGTTTGCAGAGCCATTAGTTCATAATTTAAAAATTCCTAAGAAAACTTTCTATGACGTGGTAAAAACCCTGCACTTTACATCACTCCCCCAACTTCGTGTGCGTGTGACTCCACAGAGCCCAAGTAGGAGGGGGGAAGGCTCTGCTGCATGGGGCGCAGCCATGCTGATCAGCTCAGCCTGCTAAGATGCCATTTTTGCAATGCCTGGTGACTTAGATTGAACAAAACATATCTTTAGAAACAATTTCACTGGAAAAGCATGTGAATCGCATAATTGGCAAAAGGGACTGATGTATTTTGGAGGGGTTGCTTCTAGTACACTAGTTCCTGACATATTTTGATAGAACTCTTATAGTCTTAGCGAAAGCACAAGCACACCTTTGAAGTGAGTTTCATAGACTAAAATCTCAAGGGCTTTCCTTTGAGGGTGGAAGGCTTTCCTCATAATTCTTGCTATGTTGTTAACAAACACATGTTAATCCACAGAAGCCATTTTCATGTACTCATTTGCCCTTGGTGACAGAAGGGCAAACATCTCCATTCACAAAAGGAAAAGCTACTAAGATTGGTGGTTGGTAGTTTCACTGCCACAGAATTAGAGCATTACTTGACAGCCGACAAAACCCCTTATTTTCTAATCCGTAGTGAAAAGGATATGGGAGTGAGTGTTCAGATGTCAAGTGTGGTTATTTCAGTGATCTACAGACTGTCCTTACATCTGCTACATGTCTGGAAACTTGAGGCAGGGTCCTAAAAATTCACCCCCAAGCAAGATGTGTGTACCGTTAAGACAGTTTTAGATCGACTCTTAATGACTGTAAGACTAGATTGCCAACAGATCAGGCCTGCCTAACATTCAGTGGCTGATAGACTTCAGGTGCATTTTTATCGAGAAGTACTTATGTCCTAGAAGAGTACTAATTCTTGTATTTGAAATTTGAAAATCTGGCTTTGAGACGTAAAAATGATTTGAGTCCACTTAAGCTGGTAAAAGTGGGGTTGTAGGCCCAGCATCACACAGCTCTTCAGCACAACTCCAGTGTGATCCATGGCAAGCCACGGTGGAAAATTGCCTGAGTCTTCGTGAAGGACTTGCCTCTCCAGGTGCTTTCTGTCCTATGGTGGATCCCTTCAGTTTCTAGCTCTCTGCTAGGATAGCACTTCCTCAAAGGAAGCCTTCCTTGCCCTTAGGCTAGGGTCAGTTCCTAGAATCTGTTCTCATGGCACCTGAACCTTACAGCAACTATGCTTACACGTGCAGAATTAGTTTTTGTGTGCTCTGCACATACTTGGCTCAAAAAATACCTGAAAAATAATGAAACTAGGATTTAGTAATTCCAGTTATATAAAATGCTCAAATATTTGAAAAAAAGGAATATAGGCTTAAAACCACATTTTAGTTATATAAAACTAATATACAATTCCATTTTATCTATTAGTTAGCAATTTAATGGGTTTGTTTTTGACTAAAGGAAATACTGGTGTTGGAATTAAAATCTTAAGGATCTTGAAGCAGAGCTGATGCTGTGTCGTCATAGTCATGGTGGCATTTCCTTGTTCAGGTTCTAGGAAAACTTTCAGAACTCCTATTGAATATTCTAAAGTAGTTCAACAGAGTATTAGAAATGATAGCAAAAACTTAAAATTTATATATGGTTCTGTTTTTAAAACTCAGATTTTTAAAAGTGCTTTTAGAGTAGTGGCTTTATGATACTTAAGCCCATTCTTACAAGTCTGCTACTATTTTTAAGTGATTTATCCCTACAGATTATAAAATATGCCAGGTGGGAGGGGCCTTAGCTTCTACCTAAGACTTCCTTTTGTAGATAAAGGAAATGGAAGGTTATATCAATGTCAAAAATGTGTAGTATCATTGATGATGATCACTTAATGTTCTTTATTTAGCAATGTAAGTAGTTACTGTTTAGGAATGTACTGCTGAGGAATGTTAGTAGTAAAATCTTGTGTTACAAGATTTTTGCATTTACATGAACTTTCACTCGTTTTTCAGAATCTGTTCCTAGAGACAGAGAACCCAATACAAATATGAGAACATGTATGCATAATCAGAAGGATGCAGTGCAAATGCCTAGTGACACTCTGAAAGCAAAAATGGTACCTGAGAAAGTTCCCCGCAGATGTGCTACTGTTGCTGCAAATAAAATAAAGATAATGAGTAATCTAAAGGAAACGATTTCAGGACCAGAAAATGTCTGGATTAGGAAGAGTAGCAGAAAACTGCCCCATCGAAATGCTTCTGCTGCGGCTAAGAAAAAATTACTGAATGTTTATAAAGAGGATGATACAACCATAAATTCTGAAAGTGAAAAAGAGCTAGAAGATATTCATAGCAAGATGTTTTTTTTTAGGCGGTTCAGATCCTGGAAAGAAAAAGCACAGTAGTGACTATGAAAATGTAGAAGTGGAACTGAAAACAGTCAGGGGCCACAAGTCAACTGGCAGTTGCATTCTGCTCCTAGCTGTAAAGTTAATCCCTTGTTGGCACCTTTTGAGGAATTTTCTAAAAGCCATAATCCAGTGGGTCAAAGTGGGAGGATGACTTCCTCCCAGTCAGCTGTGGTACAGACACACACCACAGAGAATTCTGAGGAGGAAATAGATCATGAAGCCTGTAGGTGGAGAGGCGGGAAGAAAAGACAAATGGCCTGTCCTAAGATTATTCCTTTTCAGAAAGGAAGGGCCTTGAAGAAATCTCTTGGTTCCATAGAGGAAGAAAATACTGAGAAGTGCACAGGGTCTGTAGCAAAAACTTCAAGGACTGAAAAAATTTCAAAATCTCAAACTATTGTTAATTTTAAGGGTTCTGCATTAGAGTATAAAAATTTGGACCACCATGACTATGGTATCATTACTGAAATGAGAAAAAGACATTAGGTACATTGTAAGAGTAAGTGCCACTGAGCTTATCTCACTTTCGACTGAAGCAGATATTTTTAACAAGATCCAGTCCCTATAACAGGTCAAAAACAACTAGAAGGACCCAGGGATTCAGTGATGGGGATGTTGATAATCGATTTGTGAGGCAGAATGTTGGAATGAGCAATATAGAGAAAACCTATCAACGTCTTATTTTGTTTTAATATTGGAATTCATACTGAATGATGACCACTTGATATGACTTATTCAGGGAATATATATTTTTCTATGAAAGCTATGAATGTGACTATCACAACTTCTTTTCCTCATTTTTACTTTCATGTAGCAGCATTTACAGAGATGCCAAAATGTGCCTCATTATGAGGCAGGTCTTAGTTTTAATCATTTAGGATAAAAGTATAAATTAAGATCAAAACAGTCATATTTTTAGATGATACAGTGACATCCTCTTATGTTTCTCTACAGCACCTTAAAAGTTAGAACTTTATGAACACTTTGAGCAAATTTATTACAATCTCATCACAACAAACTTGAATGGCAGCATGTCTGGGCTGTTTCATTGTGGCCTTCACTAGGCTTAGAAAATCTGGTCTTGATACTATTAAAGAATTTCTTTGCAATGAAGTTTAATTCGTTGTTAATAGGTATTTGTTGAAATTAAAACCACCAGATTAAATGAACGCACTGTCAAACCTTTTTAATATAGTAACATGCTATTGGAAAAATGAATTGTTAGAACAAGTTGCTTTCCCATTTAAAAATATCTGTGAATATTAATATATGATTTGCATGTGTAAATCTGAAAAAGTGAAATAGAGAAACCTGAGGGTTTCTATTTTTCATTAAAAGATTAATGTAATGCATATTTTTTGGTTATACAGATTGACCGAGTGTCTAGATTACTTAAGAAATTTGTGGTTGCATGTCTGCTTAAAAAAAGGCTTTTTGTTGTCTTTTTCTTTTTCTTAGTATAAGCCAGAATATTTCTAACCTACAGAGGCTGTGTCCTTTGCTCTGTGTATAGCATACTCCATTTGAAACACTGATACCAGTATCCTGTTACTAGTATAGATGAGAAAGGGAAGAATTCCTAATAAACGGCTAGTATTTTTAGGTGCACGGGGTTTGATTTTTGATCTCTACTGAAATGTGTAAACTTATTTCCAGTCCCCATATTTACACTTAATTTCATAGAAATTTCTTACTGGGTATATTATATCCTCAACAAATACCATAAAATGAAAATATTTAAGTCTCAAGACTACTGTATGCAAAATTTGACTATTTCAGTTTAATGAGAGGATTTCAATTCTGAATTTAAAATTTACTGTGGTGGGGTTAATTTCTGTCAGCACTTGAGAGTGTAGCATCAACCTTTTATAATGGAATCCCTTTTCCGGTTTAGTATTTAATTTGAATATTTATGCCTTTTTTTAAGTGCTCGGCCTAAATTTGTTGTAACCGCATGAAATTACCATTTGTTTAAAACTTAACATTCTTGTAAAACTCTCGCTCTGAAATGTATGCAGAATTTAAACCACAGCCAAATGTATTATCATTATCCTATTTATAATTTTAATCAGCTTTCCAGAAATGATTTATTCATAATGTACTTGTGAAACGGAGGATCTTGATAAAAATTACATTTTATTCAACAAAAGGACTAAGACAAAGTGATACCCAAACAACCTTTTTATTCTGCAATTCAGTCATTCTATAAAACCAATTAACGCAGGAGTCTTACGCAGTTTTAAAATATCACATTGGTAATCTTGTATATTCTAGCTCACAAACCCTACCCAAAGTTTCCTAAGCTCTTACTCGATGGCAATTTGCTATTATTGTTTGTATGTAAATGTTCACATTTTGCTTCAAAACCCAATCTTTTATTTTGCAGTAGTGTGTAAAATTGCTAAATACTAATTTTATGTAAATGATTTTGATCGTTTCTCCACATCTTAAAACAAGATGTTTCTAGCAATTTTGAGATTTTTTTAGATTATCTCAAGAGGCTCTTCCTGACCCGAAATTAGTCCTTAACTTTGTGACTATTTATTGAAAGGGTTCCAGAATGTAAGCCATGCCATCTCTTTTCAGCTCAACTAAATCTAGGTAAATGGATTTTTATTTTTCATTGCAATACTGGATGTTTTCATTGTCATTTAAACTGTCGTATAATTTTTCCTTTTTTCTCCTGCTTAGAACAGTGCTCTGTGAACTTTGTCTTCCAGCACATTTTAAAGAGAACCAATTCAAAAACAATTATATACTTTGCTTACTAATGAAAGGCTATTTAAAGCGAAAGCGAATTTTGTATTTAAATTGCCAAGTTTTAAAAAACAACTATTTTTGCATTCTCATAAAGTCTTTTAGATCAGCTTGACAATCATCAGCTTTTGAAATGTGAATTCCTATTGCCAGAGTAAAGGTCTCACTTTTATAACACCACGAAGCACTGTATTTCTTGCTGCCCGTCCATCCGCCCTCTGTCCTCGTCCCGAGGACGCGCCGGGCCCGGGCCGGCACCTACCTGGGGGCGGTCGCGGTGTGGAGCCGGTGCTCAATAAACCAAGCTCACCCTGTCACCCCTACCGGACAAGGGAAGCAGGCACGCAGAGAAGGAAGGAAAGGCGGCGGGGTGGCCTCGTTCCGGAGCGCTACAGACTGCGGCAGCGGCGGCCGAGCCCCTACTCCCGGGTCCGTTACCTGTCCGGACCCGAGGCCCCGCGGACCCCTCGCGGGCCCGGCCCTCAGCTCGCCTCTTGCCTCTCTAGCCCGCAGTCATCCCGCCTCGGTCTCCCTGCCGAGCTCACACCTGGGAAGAAAGCGCCCCGGGTTTGTGCGGCCTTACGGGCCGAGGGCGCATGCGCCGGGGTGGTGCAGGGGGCGTGGCGGTGCTCAGCGGCGAGGCACGAGCGGCGTGGGGGGTGTGGGAACGCTCAGGGGCTCGGGGGCGGTGCAGGGGGCGTGGCAGTGCTCAGAGGCGGGGCGCGAGGGGCGGGCTGTGTGGGGACGCTCAGGGACTCGGGGGCGGGGCAGGGGGCGTGGCGGCGCTCAGAGGCGGGGCGTGAGGGGCGGGGTGTGTGTGGGTGGGGACGCTCAGAGGCGCGGGGGCGGTGCTCAGAGGCGGGGCGTGAGGGGCGTGGGGAGTGTAGGGACGCTCAGAGGCGCGGGGGCGGTGCAGGGGGCGTGGCGGGGCCCAGAGGCGGAGCCTGAGGTGCGTGGGCTGTGTGGGGACGCTCAGGGGCTCGGGGGCGGGGCGGTGCCTAGGCGCGCGTGCGCGGGGGCGGGCAGGGGGCGTGGCGGGGCCCAGAGGCGGGGCCTGAGGTGCGTGGGCTGTGTGGGGACGCTCAGGGGCTCGGGTGCGGGGCGGTGCCTAGGCGCGCGTGCGCGGGGCCGGGGCAGGGGGCGTGACAGTGCACGGGGCGCGTGCGCCGTTCTGTGGCGCCGAGGTTGGGCCGGGAGGGAGACCATGGCAGCCACTTTCTTCGGGGAGGTGGTGAAGGCACCGTGCCGAGCGGGGACGGAGGAGGAGGAGGAGGACGAAGAGGAGAGGAGGGAGACTCCCGAGGACAGGGAGGTGCGGCGGCAGCTGGCGCGGAAGAGGTAAGGTGCTGGGCGCGGGCCCCGGCGGCGCGCTCGGGCCTGCGGCTGCGGTGGCTGCCCGGGCCCCGCCGAGCGGAGCAGCGGGCGGTCACGGGCCCGGCGTGACCCTCGTGCGCGCCCCGCTCTCCCCGGGCCTCGGCCCGCTGCGGTTTCGGTGGAAGCGTGGGCTCCGATAGGTTCTTTGAAGGATCGCCTCCCGGCTTGCTTCAGGTTGACTGCGGTGCTGTCTGCGGACTGTGACTTCTCCAGGGCTGTCTTCCTGCCCCACGTGTGTCAGGTGTTCGGGTCACGGACTTGAGACAGCTCGCTTAAAACTTGTTTGATTCTCCGCCCCACGCTTCAATTAGCGTTGTGTGTCAGGAGCAGATGGATAACATATGTCGTTTGTAAGGAGCCTTATTCCCAGACGCACAGAAATTGGAGAAAATAGTAAAATGACCCGTCACCGCCACCCAGTCGTGTAAAGTCAACAATTACGAAGGTTTGGCCACAATTCTTTTCTCTCCCGCTACCCCTAAGCGAGTCCCTGTCACCGTGGCCTTTCACCTCTACATTTTTCGGAATGCATCTCAAGCGATGTAGCCGTTTTCTTACGTATGCTCTTCTCACCGCCAACAAAATTATTGATAATTTTTGGACGCTATTTAATAGCCAGTCCATGATCAAATTTATCCAGTTGTCTCAAACTTGACGTTTTAGAGTGCGTTTGTGTAAATCAGAATCCTGACAAGGCCCGCACTGCATTCAGACGTCTTGTCTCTTGAGCTTCCTATAGCGCTTGGAGCAGCCCCTCTCCTTGCCACCCTGTGGGGAGACTGGTTGTCCTGCAGGGTATCCCACACTCTGGATTTGTCTCCTTGTTTCCTCCTGTTGTCATTTAACGTGTGTCCATCGCCCGCCTTTCCTGTGGATGGAAGCTCCTTCTAGAGGATTGGTGAGATTCAGGTTCAGTGTTTGGCAGGTGAGAATGCCTTGAAGGTGGTACTTGCTGTTTCTTGTTGCGCCCTCTGCCCAGCTGTTGCACTTTTAGGGATGCTGACAGCCTGATCTCTGTTGTAGAGTCTCCGTGAGCTTTGCATCCGGTGGTTTCATCCGTTAGTTATCATTGCCTGAATCCGTTGTTTTCTTAGGATTATAATTATGTTCTTTACAAAATTAAAGTGTGCATTTTACTTGTTACAAAATCATGCTTGTAATATTGTTTTTATCATAATATGGTACCAATTATGTTCAAGTTGCTTTAGTTTCGTCTTTTGTTTCTCGTGTTAGGGAGGTGCGGCTCTTTCGAAGACAGACAAAAACATCTCTGGAAGTTGCTCTGCTAGAAAAATATCCTTGCTCCAAGTTTATAATTGCTATAGGAAACAATGCAGTAGGTAAGTGGAAATGCTGATGACCAGGCATTTTGTTGAAAAGAGCAAAATCTGAAGTTACTTATTTCTTTTTCGTTGTGCAAGATTTCAAATGTCTGTTACTTTGTTAGGAAAAGTTGTAGCAGAGTAACTTTGTATCTGAGTAAAATCTGTCCTTGCTCGTGGGTCTGTCTTTTTGATAAACTTAAAAAGTAAGCTTAGGGGGCCTGCCCTATGGCCTAGTGGTTAGGTTTGGCTTGTTCTGCTTAGGCGGCCCAGGCTTGGTTCCTGGGTGTGGACCTACACCACTTGTTGGTGGCCATGCTGTGGCAGCGACCCACATGCAAAATAGAGGGAGACTGGCAGAGATCTTAGCTCAGGGTGAACATTCCTAGCGAAAAACAAAGGTAAGATTTAAAGGAAATGTTCTTGGCTTCAGGAACTTACAAACCTGAGGAACTGTTTCTAGTGTGTTGAGGTATCCAGCTTTCCTTAGGCTCCTGGGCCTGTTTTGGCCAGACTTGGAGGGGCAGAGGTGGAGGCTGTAGACCACCCCCCGGCTTGTAGCAGTGGTTCTTAAATGTTTTTGATTTGACAGACTCCTTTTGAGAACCTAAGGAGAACTCTAAAAATAATGGTAATAGTTGCTAACATTTTTGAGCACTTAAGTTCTAAGATCTTTATGTATATGAATCCATTTGACAGCTTAAAGTTAGAACAGAGTAGAGTTCAGCTAGACCAATGTACACGTGCAAGGACGCCCCCAAACCTGTCTAATTTTAGGGGGTTTGCAGGCTCTGAGGGGGGCATTCGGGACCTCCAGTTAGGGTTTCTTGCCCTCTCAGGTACCCCTGGTGCTTGTAGAACATAGAAAGAACATGGTGAATGACTACTGACTCATTTGTATAAAGTTCTGCTAACTTAGAATTTTCCAGAAGTGTGTTATACTGTGAGAGTATGGTGAAGTTTGTCAGTAAACCTGTCTTCTCAATTCCTGGCTCCAATACCAGCTGTACTTGGCGTGGCCTTTAACTTCTTGAGGGCCTTACTTTCCTTTTCTGCACAATGGCTCTTTTAGCTCTAAAATTCGAGAGTAACTTGGACTTGTTTTTTATTGAATAGCAATTGCAAGTTGCAGAACCAAACACTAACATGTGAATTGTTTTTCACAGCATTTTTGTCATCGTTTGTCATGAATTCAGGGGTCTGGGAAGAAGTTGGTTGTGCTAAGCTCTGGAATGAATGGTGTAGAACCACGGACACCACTCATCTGTCCCCCGCAGAGGCGTTTTGTGTGTTTTATCATCTAAAATCAAATCCCTCGGTACGTGGGTCTTACCTTGCATGTTTAAGAAGTAGTTATTTAGGCGTCATTTATATAGTCGCCATCTGAATTCCGTGTTCCTTAGTAGCTACTTTGGGCCTGAGGAATTATGTCTGCAGGTACCACTTCTTTGTTTATATAAATATTAATGCGGCATATACAATGTGTGGGTAAAGTTCTTAGGAAATTCTGGAGTGACTTTGTTAGAAACAAACCATGAACCTTACATGTTTAAACCTTGCCCTCATCCAACCCGTTATTTCAGCTGGCAGCTCTAAACGGGCACCAGTGTTCACTCCACGGAGCAGGGAGTCCTCTTTGTTGCTGTATACCAGTAGTTAGCCAAGGCCTGGTACCTGCTGGAAGCTCAGTCAGTGTTTGTTGAACAAATGAGTGCTTTATGCGTTCTAAATACAATTCTGTTGACATCCAGCGTTCATCCTAACCTGGTTTGTCCTGGTTTTTTAAGTCACAAAAGACATTCTGTAGCTGATGCTGAGTGATTTCACTGGATTCGTTTGTCCTAATCCTAATCTTGGGTCCATTCAGAGAACACAGTGTCCTGAGCAACTTGGGAGACAAGTCAGGCAGATGAGGTGTCGAGCAGGTGAGGTGAGTCTCCGCATCTGCTCGTGTGACGGAGTACTGTTCCACGGCTGCCGACCGCTTGAGCAAAGGCCCGGGGCAGGGTTTCAAACAATGGAAGAAGTCAGTAGTTCTATAATATTGTAGTGTTGCTTGCTTCAAAAGGCAAGGACCAAATGTTAGCCGAGAAAACGGTAAAATTTGATTTTGCCATACTTACAGTTTGTTTCTCTAACATGTAATCCCAAGTTATTTAAGTTTACATAAGGATTTTTATAAACATCCACTATTTATAGGAAATAAACAATAAAGAAACTAAGCATGTTCTTTATCTGTTCCTTAGTGGAAAGGTTTCACTTTAAACTAGGTTGTGAAGGTCAAGTAGAAGTTTCTGTTACTGTATCTCGTTGTACCATTTATTGGTTAGATATCTCTTGGTTGTTCAGGACCTACGTGTGTAGCTAATTATATATCCAGTCTTTTTCTTCTCTCCTGTCCTTGGGCCCCTGTTTTCCCGTGTGTGCTTCCTTGGTGTAATTAACTGTTAGCGATTCTGGCAGTATTTAAGAGAAGACCTTGTTGACTTCTACAGATAATCTCATTTCGTGAGCATTAATAATCAGGAATCTCATCCTTTTATGGCATGTGGCATCGCACGTTATTTCACTTCGAGCATGTGGAACTTGGTTTCTGAGACGGTATCATCTTCGCCTGTTGTAGGATACTACTGGGCTGAGATGCTGTCAGGCTTCTATCGTTTCCTCTGATAGCACCTCGTGTTTATCTAATGCTTACGTTTTACAGAGTGCGTATTTTGAGTTTGTCTTCACCATCTGTGACCCCCAGAAGGGTAGCAGGACTGGTGTCATCCCTGTTTTATAAAGGGGATCCTGGTAGTCTTTACTGGGAGTGGACCTCAGTATCTCACATGCCAGCTCTCCCAGTTTCTCTGTCATTGTGCACTGTATTCTGATAATAACCACCAATAGTGGCTTGATTCTTAAATTTTATATTTTAAAGGAAAATAAGCCGATAGCAAATTCAAGAAATCAGGTGTTTTCTAAGTGTCCTATTAGGCTTCACATGCTATGTATATGGTGACAGTTTGGGGTGTGTGTAAAATTTATTTGACCTGACAGCAGACTTGGAATGTGATTTTCAGGTTTTCCTCTGTCAGTGCACTTGCTACGTTGCTGAAGATCAGCAGTATCAGTGGCTGGAAAAGGTAAGAGAGACATGAAGACCAGACATTGTTAGGGCCACGAGTGGCCACTTTTTAAGGGGTCAGTGTCTTTATTAAACCTATGTAGTCAAATATTGAAGCGGGGGAAGTATTCACTTTTTCTTAAAAATATTGTAGGAATTTATTACAGAATATAAAGAATAAACTCATTTAGCAAATGTAATCAGCAATGTGCTAAAGTTTGTAGGTCCTGGAAGCATAAAAACATAGTTGGATTCTTCCATTCACCTTCTTATTTTTTTTGGAAGAAAAACAAGCTACCCGCATGGAAGAGAACAAGGTCAGAGCTGAGGATGAGAAATGGCCGTGCTGATGCTGCAGGCTGGAAAAGCGTGGGGTGCGAGGCAGGAGCAGGGGTGAACTGGAGTCAGACGCTTGGCACTCAGCTGCCACGCACTCCAGACTCCAAATACTGTATCCATTTTCTTAGCGTTAGGATGAATCAATTTAGGCCTCATTTTGTGAGAAAATTGTGCACATAGTATGTGCCCAATAAAACAAATTTTTCAGTGAAGAATTTAACTCAACTGGGAATTTTAGAGAATAATCATAATTTCGGCAGTTGTGTTATTTTTAAATGAAGTAGGCCTTTTATATACATCTTAGCAACATTTCAGCTTAAACCTCGGTATATTTTTATATAGGTATTACCATTAAATTCATTAGAAATAAATTTTGGGGCCGGCCCCGTGGCCAAGTGGTTAAGTTCAGGTGCTCTGCTTCAGTGGCCCAGGGTTTTGCCAGTTTGGATCCTGGGCATGGACATGGCACCGCTCATCAGGCCATGTTGAGACGGTTGTCCCACATGCCACGACCAGAGGGACCTACAACTAGAATATACAACTGTGTACTGGGGGGCTTCAGGGAGAAGACGAAAAAAAGAAGATTGCTAACAGATGTTAGCTCAGGTGCCAATCTTTAAAAAAAAAAAGGAAAGAAATTTTGTGTATACCTGTTTTAAACCAGATTGGCATACTTAGAAATATTTATTGAAAGTTATTAAATGCATTTTATTAAATTAGTTGTTTAAGAAGGTCTGTGACCCTTCTGATAATTGTATACTTGATTTTATATTGTGTACCCATGTGCGTTTTTCTGGGGAGAGAGTCCATAGCTTTCATCAGATCTTGTTTGTATTTGTTTTTTTAATTTATGTGGGATGACTGTTACATCAAAAATATTGTATTATTTTTGTACTGTGGAACAACTTTCTCTTCTAGGCTTGAGAAAATATACAATTATGTATTTCTAAAACACAGTTTTTTAGTCAATGTTTTTTCCCTGGGAGCACTCTTTGGGTCTCTCTGCTGTTTGGTTCACGTCAGCCACGTAATCCTGTTAATCACACGCAGTCTAGCAGAGTTGTCAAGTGTTGTGGATTCAGACTATAAGTATTATAGGGAGGATAATGTTGTAGCTCTTAAATGGTATGTACCTGCTCACAAACATATATGGTGTTAACTTTTCCCTGTTTATTTACAAAGCTGGGATATAATGAAATTAGTTTTACAAATCATTTATGGCACATAATATAAAATCTTCAGTTGTGTTGTTATTTGAAGTCATTCTCTTCATAAAATATTTTCAAACAGTGTGCAGTGGCCGAAAATCTACTTTTTTCTGTAAAAAATATCTGCTTTCTTTGTTTACATCACTATAGATTTTAAAAGCTGGAAGGGTCCTTGGAAATCCATGAAATACAAACTTGGGGCATTGAAGTCTAGCGTGATTGAAACTTGCCTACAATCAAAGTAACTTAAAAGTGAACTTAAGAATCATTTGCACTGATATAACACTGTTGTGAATGCAGCTTGCAAGTAGCCTTCTTCGAAACATCTGTATTAAAGTGTTCTTGAACGCATCAATACGTGCATTAGAGAAAGAGGGTCACTTCCATTTGCCAATAGAACACTTGTCTGAATGCAGCTTGCAAGTAGCATTCTTAGAAATAGCTGTATTAGAAGAGATCTTAATCACTTCGCTATATCCATTAAAGAATGGGTGTCACTTCCATTCATTAATATAACACTGTTCTCAACACTGCTTGCAAGTGGCGTCTGAGAAACATCTTTCTAACAAGTGTTTGTAAACACTTCACCACATGCGTTACAGAACAGGAATTATCTTCGTTGACTGATGTAACACTGTTCTCAGCACAGCTTGTGAGTAGCGCTTACAGAAACACACAAAAATCATTTGCAGACATCATCGGCGGGTGGGAGGGGAGGAAACGCGACGTCTGACAGGGGCTCATAGTGGAGCCACTCGTTTGCTGTGGATGCCATTGCTGGCTGCTACAACAGCTGCTCTGGCCGTCTTTGTTCCTGACTGCATTGACTCCAGATCGCAGCTCCCTTAGGTAGGTGGTGCTCTCCTTGGTTCCTGACTTAGAGAAGGTCGCCCAACCAGAAGGGAGCAGATCCACGATCGAATTAGGTGAGGGGACAGGAAAGCGTGTGTTCTGTTTTTCCAGGGACACTCCCACCCCTGCAAGGTATGATCTTACCGTGAGCGGTGTTAGATAAACAACTAGAGGAACGTTTCTAGTCTGTAACAAAATCATATATATATTTTTTAATTTGAAATCAATTTTGTTAGGTTTTTGGCTCTTGTCCAAGGAAGAACATGCAAGTAACTATTCTCACATGTCGACATGTTACCGACTATAAAACTTCAGAATCCACTAGCAGCCTTCATTCTCCTTTCCTGAAAGCCCTGAAAACACAGAATTTCAAAGAGCCTCCGTGCTGTTCGCTGCTAGAACAGCCGAATATCGCGCATGACCTTCCTGCAGCAGGTGGGGTTACAGTTCGTGGCGTTTACGTTGTACCTTGTTAGTGCCTATTGACAGTTGTTACCTGACTGTTAGAGAGCTTTTTGAGGTAGTTTGTTGATGATGATTCCAGTGTATTGCCGTTAATCCTCAGTATCTGTAGTTGCTAGTGCATTATATTTGGTTTGAGTTTTAAAATGGTCCAGACACAGTTATGTGAGAGCAGCTCAGAGTTCTTGGCGGCTGTGCCTCGCAGTTGCTCTCTTTCTTTTTGGTCTTTGATAACCCGTCGTGCAACCCAGTGTTAGATGTAAATTGTTGGTGTATGAAAGGTTGGTAAAGTATGTTTTAATTGTCAAAATAGAAGTTTCAGATATTGAATCTTGGTAGTTGCTTTAATATTTTTATTTATGTTACTAATTATACCTTAGCACTAAATCAAAATCAAATTGTCATTTACCTTCCAGTAGTTAATGTTATATAATTAATTATTGTTTGTTAATAAGTAAAAGGGTTTTTTTCCCTTAAATGTTAAGTTTACTAGAATTGTGGCTAAATATTTTACATTATGCATTATATATTTATTATTTACATTTAATTTGCTTTGTTTATTATATCAGCAACATTTTAATCTTGGAACTACTTAAGATGTATCTCAGCAGTATGTTCAGGAAATGCATGTAATGCACAGGAAAGTAAACATAATTTTTGCAAATCGAGAAATTACTTAGGAGAATAAACTGGCTTTGATAGAAAATATGCATTATAAATGGTTCAAAATGGCAGTAAATACTTTGATTAAAAGAGGCAACAGAGGTGACTGCTTTTATAAGCAGCCTTTATTATTTCGAGGTGTTTAACAGTCATTTAATAGGAACCTTAAATGCTCTTTCCTGTCCGTTCCTAGTTCTCAGTTACTGTCAGGTGTGGGGAATCCCCGCAGTGCTGTACTTGTGTTACACCGACGTGATGAAGTTGGACCTAGTTACGGTTGAAGCGTTTAAGCCTATACTTTCTTCCAGAAGCTGGAAAGGTTTGGTTAAGGTAAGGGTTTAACTCGTTGACTTCCTAGCCGAGTTATTATAATGAGCTTAATGACAAACATAAATGTGTGGTAGCAATTTAAAACCCAGGCGACACTGAGAGATCCTTTTTTCTCAAAATAAAGCTCCCTAGTCTGGCAGTGTGAACTTGACTGTCACCCTCCCTTCTAGATGTGCTTCTGTAACTTAAGCAATGTTTTGTTCACGATAGATCAGGGCCGTGCATCTAAATCCCAGATGTCTATGTAGAAAGTATTTTCCTGTTGAAGAAGTTGCTGTATCTAATTAATTTGGAAGGTGGTAATTTTGGGGAAGGCATTTTTGAGCACAGTATGGATCGGATTATTGTAACGTGTGTTCACTTGATTTTACATGGGACTAGATGAAGGTGTCTGTTAGTTGAGATACCACGTGAGGACGAGCTAAGTCCGTTCCCCGCTCAGTTCGTGTGTGTCTGTGGCTCTTTCCCCAGAAGTACACACGTGGGAACATGTCCGCAGACGGTCCTGCCTGTGCTTGCAGGTGCGTTAGGAAGCGCTCCTTTCCCTAGGGATTTGCTGAAAGTCTGGGACTCCCAGTTTGAGAACGTCTTCCTTAAAGGGGAAAGGTTGTAATGACCTTGTTCCACAGCCCTCTCTTGTTCTAGAATGGCCATTAGTGTTAAGACGGCTTTTCTGATAAGTTCTGTTGGAGTTAGCTCATTGCACAAGTCTCATAAATTTGCTTGCTAGATTGTCAGCTCTGTGGGAACGCACTGCGTTTTTCCATTTTGATGTCCCCAGTTCATCACGTCCCTGGCATGCGGAAGACCTGCAGTAAAACTGTGAAACTAATATAGTATAATTCAAGTGCGTCTTTCAAGTTAGCTGGAGTCACGGGTAGTCCTTCCGACAAGTTGAGTTGCTTTGCATTCCTTGTTTGCTTCTGTAGCTGGCTGACTGGCTGTTCCCGCCTCATCGAGAGCAGGCGGGGCTGTTTTGCTCATGGGGTAGTATGGCCAGAAGTGCACAGGCGCTCCAAAGACACTGGGACTTGTTCTGAGAATTGTACATCATCTGTCCGAGTTTATCAACTTTCAGCTTTTAAGAATCTTCTTTGAAGGGGAAGTTTTAAGTAATGTTTTTTAGTCTTTTCATTCCTTGCTTTAAACAGTGAGCTGTGGGAGGGTGAAGTGGCTGTCTGAGGAGTGCAGTTTTTTTAGTGACCAGATATCATCCTCCTCAGTTAGTTTATAGTTTCAGTCTATCTAAAAGTGGTATTTGGGCAACAAAATGGAATTCTCTTGAGTGCCCGCTGTGTGGACCCTCTGGAGCCATGTTAGCGCCACAACCTGCGGGTGGTGCAGGGGACTGGCCTGCCCGGCCGCCCGAGAAGAGCACAGTTGTGTGCCAGCCAAGCGGGGAGAGCTTAGTGTGAGGAGAGGCCCCTCGGGGAAAGGGGCTCTTGAGCGGGGTGTGAAAGGTGCATGAACCCTCGTGGGTGGACATGTGCAGAGCGCAGCAGTGTGACACAGAAGGGGACAAGCTCAGGGTGCATTGCGGAGAACGGTGGTGAGCATGGTGTTGGCGGGGGGACGGGAGAGCTCACGTGGCAGAGAGAGGTCACGTTGGGGCGGTAGGTCCGTCCGGGGGCTTACACTGCCTTCAGAGGCCGGAGGTGCCTTGGCATTTTGGCAAGGGGGTTTCACCTGCTGAAAGAGGAGCGGTGAGGCAGGCGTGTGCCAGGCGGTGCCGTGCTTCCCCCTGTCTTGAGAGTGTGGGGTTGGGGTGTGTATGGTGCTTCTACCTGAATTCTTGGTCTCACTGTATTAAGAGCTTTTTTCTCTGCTTCCAGAATATCCCCCAGAGCACAGAGATACTGAAGAGATTGATGACAACGAATGAGATTCAGAGTAACATTTACACATGATTCCAGAAATGGTTTTGTGAAGTGTGTTACCCGTCCGTTCCTTTAAGGGGAGCAGCTGCCCTGTTTTGTAGGGTGCTTTTTTCCAAAGGGGTGTTCTGAGGGTGTTAAGAAGAGAATAAACTTACTTTGAATTCATTGTAGTTTTAGTTCCTTTTTCATGGTGGTACTGTTCACAACTGAAATAAGCTGGGTGTTTTTCTTTATCCACTAGGTGGGAGTGTTGTTCTGTTAGAATGTTTTAAGGTAATATATTTAAAATTTTTAAAAACTACAGATAACAACAGGTTTTATTAACATGGCAAAGTATAGTTACTTTGGGGTAAAAATTCTGTATGATATTTATCACTTGATCTGTTGGTGATTCTTAAAATGTGGAAAGTTTCTATTTTATGAGTTTTTCAGTTTGTTTTGTAGATAAAAATCAATAAGGTGACAAAGTTCGGTATTTGCTCAAAATGAAAGGAAGAGATTTTATATTTCATCTCTTTTCAGTAACATCTGACAGATAGCCTCTCCATCCAGACTTTTCCGAGCTCTTTTGCAAGGTTAGCTGTGTGGATATCACCAGCTCTTCTGTGAAAGAATGTTATCATTGGAGCGTGACTTGAGTCATGACTCGAAGTAGCCATACGACTTCAGAAAACCTCAAACTAAACTGCGTTAATGAAAATAAATTTTAAAATGCTGGAGTCGAGAAATGCTTCTCATCTCTCCCTTCTTTTTCTTCCTTTTTAGTTATTGAATCATTTATATATTATACATTATAGATTTAGACAGCTTATCCATTTATGTCTTCTAGACTCAGTTTATTTACTGTTCTTGGTTATGGTTGGAGGTGGAGTGGTGGGACACTCTGCTAACTCCTCTTGAGTGAGCTTGGTTTCCTCTGAATGACCAAATGCTGGAAGCCTGGTGCATGTGACTGTGCCCTGGTGCTGGAAATGGAAGCGTTTTCCTCGTTGCAAAAATGTATGCATCCATTCAGAAATGTGTTTGCAGAGCCCTCGGGGCCCTTGGGGTCTGGACCTTGGAGAGTGGTATTTCCACATAGCACACCTGTGTACACACATCCCAAAGATAGAGACTTAGTGGTGCAGCCAGGGAGGAGCGACAGGGCTCTCCTTCCCCATTCCTTCTCAGTACGCCTCACACCAATTCCAGAACCACAATTCTTGGCAGTATGATGTGGCCAAGAATGGAATAGTTGGGGAAGAAGTTTTGTATCAGGAGTGATCCTGGAAAACCATAGGTACTTGGGGATGGTGGTTTCTCATTGATTTAGTGAGGAGAGAATTACAGACGGCTTAGCCTGTCCAGGGATAAGCCTCCTGCAAGAAGCAGCAGTTTAAGGAGTCAGGAGAGTGGTCATCTGCAGTGGAGTCACGGTGAAAACTGGAATACCAGGAACTTGGTTTGGAGTGTGCGTAACCACAGCCCCCACTGTGAGCAGTGGGAGTGTGTGGGGCCCAGATTTAGAGCTCGTGGACTTTGAAGAGAGCGAGAGAATCACACACCCTTTTACAGGCAAACTTTAGATCGGGTAGGTTCTCCATTGAAAAGGGAGTAGCAGAAACAGTGTACGTGGGATGACCTTTGAAATGAACTGGCAACATAAAGGATAGAAAACAGCATTAAAAAGACAGTAGAAGAGGGGCTGGCCCGGTGGTGCAGTGGTTAAGTGCGCACATTCTGCTTCAGCGGCCCAGGGTTCGCTGGTTCGGATCCTGGGTGCAGACATGGCACTGCTTGGCAAGCCATGCTGTGGTAGGCGTCCCACATATAAAGTAGAGGAAGATGGGCACAGATGTTAGCTCAGGGCCAGTCTTCCTCAGCAAAAAGAAGAGGGTTGGAGGCAGATGTTAGCTCAGGGCTAATCTTCCTCAAAAAAAAAAAAAAAGTAGAAGCTCATTCTATTGAAAAATAGAGGAAACAACTATTTTTTAAAAAGCAGGAACTTTTGATTTTTCTAAAAGTATAAATGAGAATGTATGAGATAAACATGCTAGCTGAAAGGAAATTTTAAGAACTGCAGAAAAAAAGGATTTTTTTGTGTGTGTCTGAGGAAGATTGTCCCTGAGCTAACATCTGAGTCAATCGTCCTCTATTTTATGTGTGATGCTGCCACAGCATGGCTTGACCAGTGGTGCCAGGTCTGCACCTGGGATCTGAACCTGTGAACCCTGGGCCGCCAAAGCAGATTGCGCAAACTTAACCACTGCCACCAGGCTGGCCCCAAAAGAGGATTTTGAAAGAAACAAAAATTTAACTTTAGAATTAAAATTGGCGTTGTATAGTAGTAAAAGCAGAACAAATACAGTATGTAATCTAAAGTGTGTATAATACACATATAGTATATAATACAAAGCTGTTATGTAGAGAAGCAAAGAGGTGGTGTCCTTAGATGCAGGACAGAAATGGGAAGATAACACAAGGTGGGGCTGGCCCTCTGGCATAGTGGTTAAGTTTGGCATGCTCTGCTTCGGCAGCCCGGGTTTGTGAGTTTAGATCCTGGGCACAGTCCTACACCACTCGGCAGCCATGCTGTGGTGGTGACCCCCATATAAAGTGGAGGAAGATTGGCACAGATGTTAGCTCAGGGCTAATCTTCCTCAGCAAAAAAAAAAAAAAGCACAAGGTGACAAGACAATGTGCACCCAACATGTAGGTAATTGAGTTTCCTGGAGAAGGGACCAGATCAGAAACAGTTATTAATGACAAGGAACGGAGAGTCTTCCTAAATGCAGAAAGTAGAGTGGTATTTCCACGTATACACACTTGTGTGTGTAAATCATACGCTTGAGAGTATAAATCGAAAGAACCCCATCAGTTGTCAGAATGAGAAGACATAAAAAGCTAGATGTACTGAATTTTAAGGCCAGAGTATCCAGGCAGATAAGGAAAAAATGGTTACAAACTTGTCCATTAGCCTTTACTGCCTAATAACTACGCTTCAACTTGGAGCCTTAAAGCACCCACCACCCATTTCTCATGAATCTGCAGTTGGATGGGTGCCCTTGCCAGTCTGTGCCATGCATGGCTGGTCTTGGCTCTTTCATCTATGGTCCTGCATCTGATGTGAGTTGGCTGGGGCCT